AGAACTATTCAGGGTGAGTAAAGTGAGTACTGCGTGATCTTTTTTTTTAGATAATCAATGTAGACGTAATTTGCTTACGAACTTGGAACTATCTGGAAGAACTATTCAGGGTGAGTAAAGTGAGTACTGCGTGATCTTTTTTTTTAGATAATCAATGTAGACGTAATTTGCTTAAGAACTTGGAACTATCTGGAAGCAATATAATGAACTATTCAGGGTGATCAAAGTGAGTACTGCGTGATCTTTTTTTTTTTTTAATCAAGTGAGTACTGTGTGCTCTTTTTTTTTTTTTTTTTTTTAGATAATCAATGTAATTTGCTTACGAACTTAGAACTACGTATATGAAAACAATATACTATCTGGAAACAATATTCAGGGTAAACAAAATGAGTACTGCGTGATTTTTTTTTTTTTTTAGATAATCAATGTATATGTAATTGGCTTACAATATTTAGGGTAGTAAAATTACCGTTGTTTTACATAATTTTGTATTATTTTGTATAAATTTTGGGTGATTAAGGAGATACAAATCAAATGATGCAACAACACGAACCTAGTATAGAGACTGGACTCGGGTCAACTCGTAGCTTAAAAAACTTAGTCTTAACTCGAATTAACTCGAGTCAAGACTGTTTTTTTAAGCTATATATATAATATTTATTTAGGCTCAACGAAATTTATATTATCCATTAATTGGAAAACCATATGTGAAAAAATTCGCATGTCACTTGATAATGCACAATTTTCTAGAACAATTAATTCAACAGCCTTGCAACAATTAATATTGCAGAAGACGATGAATCAGATGAATAAAATGAAATTGATTGAAAATTATCGAATAATATAAAAATATAAAAAATCTTTATATGAGGTTGGCTTATTTATAATTTTTATAGACAGCATAATAAATGGAAGTATCTGATATCGATACTACTCTGGTATAGGCGTTAAAAAGTCTTATGATCTTCTGCAGCGAAAGGGATGATGAAAAACATTCAAACTAATTCAGGCAAAAAACTTTTTTTATTGATAATAAATTCGAATTTCATGTTATAGTATGTAAAGTTAGATAATAAAGGTCACTGAATAATTTTGAACGAATATGGCTTTTTCTTTTTTTACGCAATAAAATTTTATACTGCAAATAAAATTTAATTAAGTTTTACAAATTCGATTTATAAAGTGTTGTTATTTGCTGGGTTACGTGATCTTAAATAGTGATTACGTAATGCTAGGATGGTTATGCATAGTGATGGCACAAAAATTTGGCGGTCCCGTGATCGTCGAGCCAATCGTACCAAAACTTAAGCTTGAAAAATACCTAACGCTAAGATGGCCATCTTAGGTATTTTCATGCTTAAGTTTTGGTCCGATTAGTCCGATGATACGGGACCGCCAAATTTTTGCGCCATCACTATGCTATCCTTATGCAATAGTGCTGGCTGAACTTTTGTTGAAGCTAGTACTTTATAACGTGATATGTAAATTACATGAAATTTGGTTTACTGAAATTACCAGCATGCAGAGCTACAAAATTGCTGTATGTGAATACTGTACATAATTTGATAACTCTACAGTAGGGTGTCCAGAATTCTGCGTTATTTTCTGCACATAATTATACGGATTTTTGCAGCTAATCTGGCCGGCACTACTGAAAATCCAAAAACATCAGACCAATAGAAATACACTACAGTATTTAACTGCAAATTCGGCAAATTCGACAAATGTGTACGTACGTACATAATTACTGAATTAAGAGACACATCAAATATTTCCTAACTTATCAACGTGTAATTGGTGTTTTTAGATTTCTTGCATACCTCGAATTAAAGTTTTAGAGTTACTTATAAAATAATTGTATTATTCGATAGTGGTTCAAAACTCTATAAAACAGTAATACACTTACGTACATTTTTAAGAAATAAAATGAAAAGGATTTATAATAATTTGATTCGTCATTATTTCTACCCTTATACTTTGGATACAATTATGAACATGGGATAGGTGTAGAAAAGTATGAACATAAGGCATTCATTTATTACCAAAAATCGGCAAATATGGAGCACGCTGGTGGGAACATATATTGTTGGATATTGTTATCGAAATGGAATTGGAGTTGTTATGAAAGTGGAATTGAAATCGAAAAGGATGAACATAGAGAATTCAATATTATCAAAAATATGACACGCTAGTGGAACATATAATGTTGGACATTGATGTCAAAAAGGAATTGGAGTTGAAAAGGATGAACTTAAAGCATTCATTTACTATAAAAAATGTGTATAGATTGGTTCTACTAATGGTATTGGAACTAAGATAGATGACCTTAAAGCCTTAGAGTATTTCATAAAATATGTGCAAATAGGTAATCAAACAACATGGATTCCTTATAGTGAATTCAAAAATATTAATGAGATTGGAAAAGGAAGATTCGCTACTATATATCATGCTCAATGGATATTTGATGTTGCATTGAAATTAATTCATAAAACACAAGGCCAAATCCAAGGTTTTTTAAATGAGGTAATTTATTATTTACGAATGTTAATATTAATGTTCTTTGATTAAATGCATTTAATATTATAGTTGCATGCTTATTGTGAAGTTGGAAAGGAAAATCCTTTATTTTTTAAATGTCATGGTATATCGATAGATAATAAAGGGAATTTTATTCTTGTTTTGGACTATACAATTATGAGCTCTCTGCGTAAAAATCTTTTTAAAACATCGCGATTATCATGGAAAGATAAATTAAATTTATTACTATTAATTTCCTCTGATCTTCAAGCAATTTTCTTGAAATCTCATTCATCGAGATTTGCATAGTGGTAATATTTTACAAAAAAAGTTATATAACGCTTATATTGCGGATTTGGGTCTTAAAATTCAACTTCAAAAACAAAAAGGTGAAATTTATGGAGTCTTGCCATATATTGCTCCAGAAGTCTTGCAAGAAAAACCATTTACGCATACAGCAGACGTTTACAGTTTTGGAATAATAATGGCTGAAATAACAACTGGACAAAGATCTTTTGATGGTGTGCCATTCGATAATAAACTCTCATTAAGGATTTGTAACGGGTTACGACCTGAGCTCTCTCCAGAAACTCCCGAATGTTATGTCGAATTAGCTAATCAATGTATGGATTCTGATCCTAATAAAAGACCTGACATTGAAATAATTAAGTCTTCTTTTGAAACTTGGATTAATGAACTAAATTTAGTTTAAAAAATACGAAATCAAATATCGGTTTTTAAAATAAGTTATAGGTATTCCGGTAATATGTACGTGTATGCGTACAGTACCGGGTACCCAACCGGTCAATGTAATAATGAGAATAAAGTTAGATACAAAGTTAATATTGCAAAACGGATTCTAGAAGTAATCACTTTTTTCTTTAAAAAAAATATATGTGTAGATTTAGATTGACCTCAAATCAACATTGTTTAAAATCAGCATACAAAATGAGTTGTCACAAAAATAACTTTTAGGCCCATAATTAAGTATATAGAATAATGTAATATCTTCCTATTTAGTTATAGATAGTGCTCCGAACGGGTCGGGTCGGGTCGGGTTAAGGCCAACCCGAACCCGACCCGAAATTTCGGGTCGGGTCGGGTTGAAAACTTTCGGGTTAGAGCC